GAATCAATCGTGGGCCCATTCATTTGGAAAAGTTTGAAACAGATCTGTTTAAGTGCATTCGCCATCACCAACGAATCATAAGGTAAACAATTTGCTACTTTCAATCTCGTTCTTTTCGTAATGTATAATAGTTTCTCTTCCATATAGGTTTTTATTACTGACACTATTATTTCTATACAGTGTGGTGGACGATATAAATAATTTAATAACACCCATCCTTTTTATACAACTTCTTACGAGTGGAATAGAAATTTGTTTAAGTGGATACGCAATGCTCGACAACGGGGCAGCAATTATCGATGTGCTGAAATTTATGTGTTTTTTCATCTCCATGACGGTGGAAATCCTTTTATTTTGTTGGCCCGGTGAAATTCTTGTCCATGAAAGTGAAGAAGTGGGGCACATAATTTATTTCAATATACCGTGGTACAATTTACCACCAATTCATCGGAGACATCTTTGCCTCATGATTGTTAGAGCGCAACAATATTGCAGTATCACGGCATTAACTTTCAAAACATTATGTATTCAAACATTAACAAGCGTGAGTAGCCATTTCTTTAATTTTGACAATGAAATTTGACAGCAGGCCAAAAACGACCGGAATATAAAACTTCATTATAAAAAATCAATTCTTACAACGGTAAAACAGAAATTATGATACAAATGATTTCAGGTGTTCAACACGGCTGCTTCATATTTTACTTTGTTGCGGCAAATGCAACAAGATGAAATTTCAACGAAATCATAATTACAGTGTATGATTTTAAACAAAAATAGTCAAACGTATGTATAATGTAGGTATAATGTAATGTATAGTGTGATGTCACTATACAATAGATCAAAAAGTAATCTGTAATTAAAAGCATAAATTTTCATACTATATTGTACCTGTTATTGTGTAACTGCATGTAGATATTGCCCATACTATCCAGTTTGAAAATTCATGTGATCTGGTAGAAAAGTAACTCCATCATTTGCAATTTTAGAACCACATTTTTATCTTCTTCCCATACTTTTAATTCCACATCTTCTAAACTTTCCTAATGATTTCAAGCTCACTTTCACTACAAATATAAACATACGTGAGTGTTATAAATATTTCTATTACTTTTGTCATGTTATTTTCTATTTTATTATTTCAAAATGAAAATAGAATGAATCAATTCAAATATATTATTATCGCTAATATTTACTTTAATCTACATCTGAAAATAATATCAGAAAGAAATCTCACGACAACGTCAAATTGTCTGGATAATGTCAACGTAATGTGTCTCGGTAAGTATATTGTGATTTGATACATACAAAACACGATAGAAACTATGTTTCATGGAACACCATATTATCAATTTAGATGCTGTCCGCTCTACCTCTACTTACAACATAGACTATTCATCAAACTATAAATCAGAGATAGGGGAAATAATAAGGTACGTATGCAGAATAACATTAATATTGAACATGTTTCGAGGGAAAGGAAAACGCAAATCATAAAACCATATGTTTTAGCATTTAGTCTGTAATATCGTTATAAAGAATTCTCTGTTGGAAAACTTGGTTGAAACAGGCAAGCATACCATTCGCAAACACGCATCGAATTTCGCATGAAGGAAGAACATGAAGGGATCTGTACAATCTAATACATCGATCGATTATTACATACGACCGAATAAGATCTTGTGTAGTATGAGTGGAATGTGGCCTATCGAAGAGAAGTGTTCAACACGTAGCAAAATATTCGCATATTCTCGCTTGATAGTGGCATTAACGGCAATCAATAGTATCTTCGTGCCCGAAATTATGGCAATAGCAGTGAACTGGGGCGACTTAAGAATCTTAGCAGGTAAGATTCAATAAAATTGGCTTATTTCTCACATCTTTCCTATAATTACACATGTCCTCCTACAAATTACATATATTCTTAATTTAGGCGTAGGATGCGTTTCAACAACAGTTGGGCAATTGTTGTTCAAAATAATTTACTTGATTGTAAGAAAAGAAAGAACCTACAGGCTTTATTATGAAATACGAAGTTTATGGAACACTACGAACGATCCAAAGGATATGCAATCTTACATAAAGCTTGCTCATTGGGCGCGAATTTGTACGATAATTTTTTATTTATCCTGCTTGTGCAATGTGATCACTTTCTCCCTTGCTGCAGCTATCAATTATTTTAGATTCGAATACAACGCCAGCAGTGCCGATAACAATCGGGATCTGCCTTTTTTTGTCTGGTAAATATCATCCTTTTCTACTTAAATTTCCTTCCTCGTTGATCACCAAGTAAACCTAGCCAGAAATACAATCTTTTATATTATATATTATATTATATATTTTTTATATTATATTATAATTATATATCATAATTTTTATAATTATATTATATTTTCATATTATATTTATATTATATATTATAGGCGTAAAGGAGAATTAGATCTTACTTTTATTTAGACATTAAAAAAACAATTAATATTTGATTTAATTTAACGTGATTTATCATACATTGTGATCTCATTATTAGGTATGGCAATGACACCTTAGCATCTCCCAGTTTCGAGATCGCTTTTATATGCCAATTTCTAACGTCCCTAATTTGCGCCGCTACGATTTCTGGGTTGGACGCCACATTTATGACCACGATTTTACACGTGTCTGGTCAATTTAAATTAATCAGTACTTGGATCGCTGATATAGGGGTTGAAATAAACTGTGAGCCGAATTACAGGCGGAAGTTAATGATGCAACTAATCAAATGTATCCGCCATCATCAACGAATGATAGAGTAAATATTTTCCCACTTCCGATTCCATTTTACTTGCAATTTTATCAATTAATTTTTTTTTAATTCTTCTTTCCTGTTTTTTTAATATTTCCAACACCGTTAAATCGTATCTGTGTCTTTGACGATAGTACTACTTTTATACAGTGTGGTAAATGATGTGAATAATTTGTTAACGCCCATCATTTTTATGCAACTTCTTACGAGCGGAATTGAAATTTGCTTAAGTGGATACGCAATGCTCGATAACGGGACAGCGAAAGCCGATCTAGCGAAATTCACATCTTATTTCCTTTCCATGTTGGTACAGCTCCTAACGTGGTGTTGGCCCGGTGAAATCCTCGTTCAAGAAAGTCAAAATATAGGGCACGTAGTCTATCTCAATGTACCGTGGTATAACTTGCCGCTGATCTATCAGAAATATCTTTGTCTCGTGATTGTTAGAGCGCAACAATATTGCAGCATCACGGCACTAACATTCGAGACATTATCTATCCATACGTTGACAGTCGTAAGTAATTTAAACGAGGAAGGAAAGAATCGTAATTCCTGCGAGATGAAAGACAAGGAATAAATATTTAAACCGTTTAATTCCGCAGGTGTTCAACACAGCTACCTCGTATTTCGCTTTATTACGACAAATGCAAGACAAGTAAACTTCAAAGAGATGACAAAGGCAATCTATGATTTCGCTCGTAGCGAAAACAATTCCTGTCAAAAATATAGTCAAATGTACAAGTCCCATAAACAAGCGTCGTCGTACAATAGCCTGTAATTAATTAAAAAAGTAAATTTTCATTTCTTATCGTACCTGAGATTGTTCCTCGATCGAATTTTAGATGTTGCCCGTAGTATCCAAAACTCTGAAAACCCTCGTCAATCGTAGAATACTAAATAACCGTATGTATTAATTAGTTTGCTATAACCAACTTGTACTCGCATTTTTGCGGGAATGTAAAACTTCATCTTACCATTTTTCAAAACGAAAAAGTAACGGTTCTTTCGTGACGCATTTCGAAACCTCGAACATGATACACACATCACAAATGTAAAATTTCCTAATCTTTTCAATTGTAATTTCATAGTGACATTTGACGCTTGTGCTTGTTTCTCGCGGGAAAACTTCAAACTGCATTTGAATTTCGAATTCTACCAGTCTTCGATAGCCGGCCTAACCTAACCATATTCCATAACCTGGCAATGTTGTGGAATACTCGTATTAAAATTTATGCTATTTTTCATAGAAACTATTAGTTTGATAAATGTTTGATGGTTTTACAGTGGCTCGTTTCACGACTTGCATTTCACTAATGAAGAGAACACGATCAACTTCGAAGGCACATTCCGCCAAAGAAAGAAACCTTGATGATACAGATGAACTAAAAACTAAATCCAAGGTTTATTATTATTTATTAATATTTATTTTCAAAAAACATTATGAACAATTTTCTTGAATTACCGATTTTTTTTTCTTTTTGTACATACTCAACTCTTTGTGTCAAATAAAATAACATAACTTTTCTTCAACATCTTTGATTATGTATAATATTTTGCATTTCTTCAGTAGAATTATCCAATTATCTAATAATTTCTCTAAATTTCTCATATATTAAATGAGTATTTTTATTAGAACATGGAGCAACATTCATTGGTAGAAAATAAGAGTTTTAAAAATCAAATACTTTCTAATGCAACAGAAACATTGAAATCGCATGTTCAAAATCTGGGACAGAAACAAACAAATAAACTGAACTTTAAAAGTTTGAGAGATAGTAAGTTTTTTAAAAATAATAATTATATATTATGTTTCACGTACATTTTTATATAATTTATATATTTAGGAAATAAAAAAGATAATGCAGAACTTCAACCAAATATACCTCCTCCACCAAAGAATAAACTTAGAGCAGTGGTAGATCTTAAAATGATGAAAGAAGAATTAAAACAATTGGAGGATCCACCATTGACTCTATGGGAAAAAGAAATATGCTCAAATAGACTGCCATATTCATTTTTTGATTGTCCTTGTGAAGAATTAGCACAAAATTTATTAGGTAATATTAGCAATTATCTAATATTTTTACCTATTCAATGTGTATAAGTATACAACAATAATACTTATACATTTAATATATACTTATACATTTAGGAAAGATACTAGTTCGCTGTTTAGAAAATGGTACTATTCTAAAAGGAAGAATTGTTGAAACAGAAGGATATTTAGGAATAATTGACAAAGCATCACATACATATCAAAATAAAGTTACACCTCGTAATATACCAATGTATATGTCACCAGGTACTATATATGTATATATGACATATGGAATGTATCATTGTTTCAACATATCTAGTCAAGGTGAGTTGGAAAATGGGAAAGTATTGAAAGTAAGACATTAAATATAGTATTATATTGTAAATAATTAAAATAAATAGCTAAAAATATACTTAGCACTTTATAAAAAAATATTTAGAGTCAAGAGCACATGTATTAATTAAAGCAGTAGAACCTATGCTTGGCCTTGATTATATGGAATTACTAAGAAACATGCAGACAAAACAAAATAAAAAAGAAAAGGAAATTGTAAAAAATGCTAAAAATTTCAAAAAATTTGAACTTTGTAACAGTCCAACAAAGATTTGTACAACTTTTGTTATTGATGAAGATAGCTTCGATCAAAAAAAAATTTATGAATGTAGTGACTTGTGGATAGAATGTGATTCTCATATAAAATCAACTACTATTGTAGCAGCAAATTCTGATGATTCAAACAATAATAAACGAAAAGTCTGGAGATATTATGTGTTAGGAAGTTCTAGTGTCAGTCATAGAGATATTAAATCTGAAAAATATGCATATACTATTTAATAATTTCCACTTTTGCATTTAATATCTTCCAATAAAGAAACCTCTTGGTAAGATTTTAGGTGAAGGATCTGCTGTTTTAATAAGGGCTGTTGAACCCTTAGAAGGTATTGAATACATGATTAATCAACGAACTTCGAAGGGATTATCAAGTGCACCTAAAAAGCCTTTAAAAGGTTTAAAAGAACATGAATTATGTAATGGTCCATCAAAGTTATGTATGGCATTCCAACTTCATAAAAACCATAGTAAATATTCCATGTGCTCTTGGAAAGGTTTATGGATTGAGAATGGTGAAATGGAGGAATTCAATGTTGTCAAATGTCGTAGAATAGGAATCGATAATTATGGAGAAGAATGGACAAATAAACCACTACGGTATTATATTTATGGAAATAAAGCTGTGAGTAAACGAAATAAAGAAGCAGAACGACATCTGGAACTGAGTTAAATTATAATTAATATGAAATATTTCGAAATTGTTTAAAATTAATATTCTTCAATGTAGTTTAACACATTACAAATATTTATAGTATTATATACATATAAGTCGAAGCATACAAAATCGTGAAATGTGTAATCTATTATTTAAAAATTACTTGAATTTTTCATTTTTTAAATTACAAGTAATTTATAATGCATGTATAAAATAAATAATTATAAATGATAAATATATAATAATTATATATGATAAATATAATACATACTGTATTTATCACAAATAATAATCTTCGTAAATAAATATAATATACATATATTATATAACATACGACATTTCAGAATAAGTAATACTTCATATTACTCATATCCATTCTTTCATTACTCTCTCATAATCTTCTTCTTCAATAAATGGTTTATCTATCGACCTGCAATACAAAAAAAATTCATTATTTTAGTTTATATATATCACATAAACTAGAACATAAATTAAAAAAATTTAAACTCACTCTATCATTAATTCTCCACAATATAAACATTCAGAAGCTATTAAGTCATCAATATCAGCCTTAATTTGATCTTTTGTAGATAAAGTTACAGATCCAACTGATCTAGTATCTTCAGGTCTACTTGAAAGAGCAGTAAGTTGTCGTTGAAGATCAGCTAGCTTTGTTCTCTGATCCATTGACAACATAGGTGTTAACGCAGCTACAAGACAATCACTATGGAATCTGTGTCCACACGAAAATACGTAGAAAGGTCGTAATAGTAACTGAACGCTACAAGTATTGCATGTGTCTTTCGTATTGACAAATGTGCACCTAAAAAAGTATCAATAATAATAATAATATAAATATTGTGATATTGATAATAATAATGTTAATAATATATAAAAAATATTAATATCATATCATTAAATAATCTATTTACCTCGTTCTAAATTCTTGTATATCTTTCCTAATAAGTTCTGCTGCTTTTGTTGCTTCTTGCATTTCTTCCTTTAGATCTTGAATATGTTGATTATACTCCTGTTATAAATAAAATTAAAATAAATAATACTATTTATTTAATATCCATGTTACATATTTCGTGTTAAACATTCTCATTTACAATTTAAAAGAGAAAAGAAGCACGCAAAATTTTCTTTTAATGTCTTGCAAATAAATTATTTTACCTGTAATGAATTGCAGATGGCATCTTTGAAGTGATCTATAGTAACAAAATCTGAAAAAAAAGGTAATATATCCTCTATTCTAACTATATCGCAATGTTGCAAAAATTCCATTGCTTGTTGAATGTCATCTTTTTCTCGAACCACATGTTCAGCTAGAATTATGATAAATTAAAATTGAGATAAAGTATAAAATTTAAAATTATATTTTTAATTACCGATTTTTAACCACAACTTTTTTCTTAATTCATCATCATGATCAGAGGGCATAGCAGCTATTTGTTTAGCAAGATCAACATTAATTGTTAAAGCTAAATCAACTGCTGTTGTCCATAATCCAAGTAAAGCAGATAACTGTACACAAGCTTCTGTTAAGCCAACTTCTTGGCATAATCGTAATGCATAATGCACATCGTAATGTACCATATTTATATCTTGCCCTAGAGTAAATATCTCATTAAAAATATTATTTTTAATGAAATATATATTATATATATTATGAAAATAGAATATATATATATATATATATATATATA